ATGTTTTACAGGTGTTGAGGAATCAGTTTTCTTATATCACTTGATTGTATCATATACTGTTGTAACAGGAATGTCCAGTTTGTCTAAAATTTTTTGTAATGTTATGCTGCCAAGAAATGCATCAATAATTTGTTCATGTTGCTCAGTTATCAGTTTATTTCCACAAATATTGATAAGAAAAAAACAACAAATTATTATAATTTGTTGTAATTATTATGTTTTTTATTTATAACAAGTAAAAAAACTAGGGCTCCTAACGATACCACTTCGATATCACTTCGATACCAGTTCGATACTTAAATTTACTATAAAAACATATGAGTAGGTCATAACCCATATATTAAATTTACTATAGATCGGTACCATTTCGATACCAGTTCGATACCAGTTTGGTACTTTTTCAGAACCCTAAAAAAAACCAAAAAGAAAAAAATATTAATATGTACATTTTATAAAATTAATTTTCAGTAATTTATTGTATATGACTGTATATGGCACAGCTTAAAAAGTTTAGTAGAAATTTGCTAGCAAAATAGTCTAAACATAGTATTTGTGAATAGTATTACTATAATATCTCATATACTAAAGCATACAGTATATTCAATAAAAAATGTGACTCAAGAAATCAAAAGCTATATAACAAGAGAAACATTTATCAATAATCTAACTGATATAATAAAAAAACATCTACAACCTGAGATATACAAAGAAACTATCAAAGCTATCCACAATCACCTATTTAACAAACTTCAAGAAAGATGAAAACAAAGATGTACCAACTTTGCAGAATGGAAAAAAAACAATAACATAAACAAAAACAACAAAAAAATACAAAAAGAAGACAAAATATACATTCTAGGAATTAATTTACTTCTTAAATATGCTATACAAAAATGGCTTAACTAAAACATAATCTATACTATACATGTGATATAAATTATTTGCTGTTGACTCAATTCTCCAAATCCTCAAAAATAATTGCGTTATGACTCAATTATTTATATGTTTTAATAGTGACTCAATTAATTGCATCAAATAATTGCGTCAATTGCAACAAAGATCTACGAATTTCAGTAACATTGTTATAGTGTGACATGGCGAGTCTATCACTTCGATCTAACCTACTTCGTGTAACGTTTGTCGAATTGTCTTTCTACGAAGTAGATGTGTATGTTTTTGGTTAAGTATATATTGTTAATCCGTTAATTTATTATAGTCCTATCGAATGACCAACCTTTTTTCAATTGCTTTACTTGTTACTTTTATACTTCTTTGCTATATAAATATACTTAATATACTTGATATACTTGATATACTTGATATACTTGATATACCTAATATATCTGATATACCTAATATACATAATATACTTAATATACTTATTATATCAAATAGATCTAATTATCTTTTTCTTATTTATCTATCGTTTTGTATTACATTTTTTACCTTTAACAACATATATAATCTATACTCATAAAATACAATTTTTAAGAACAGGTAGAGCCTTGACAAATTAGCCAAGTATATACTAATATTTGGCAATAAGTTGTATAATAAAACAAGTTTCTTAATAAGTTTAATTAGATAGACAGAAGATAAATTTGTATAAAACAAATTTGTACTGTTATCACTACCAGCGAGTCTGTCGCTAGCTAACCTAGGGCTGGACCTCGCCTTACAATAGGATAGACTTGTCAGGCCCTTGCTTGACTCTTGGATACTGCAGCCTTGTCTTATGGCATCCTTAATTATTTTTACCTTAACTTGATCCTAGGCCCTGTTGATCTACTATACGATCAACAATCTGCAGACAAGAAAGGTAAGTTTGTAATTAAACTGTTATGCGAATTTACAAGTTTTAAGTATTTTAATTAAGCAGGGGACTTCTTTATTTAGCAATTGTCAATTATTACATTTTGATTCTACTTTACAGCTATTTATATTGCTTGCAACACGTCCTCAAATTAATCGTCACGTCCTGCAAGTTTTATAACAAGCTTTCACATACTTTTAGCTCTCCACTGATATATAATCTAATACATCTGATCCTGCACCACGCCAGACCTAGTACCCAACCCCATACCCTTATCCCCTATTCTGTCATGCCTCTTTCCCACCCATGTAATTATTATGCTAACACTCCCCTACGTCTATGTTATGTACTCCGGTGCATAATTGTCGACCCATACTACCGGTTCATAGTACTTCTTCAAGATCTTGACATTCATTGGATTAGCTAGCACACGCCCATCTAGGGTTCAAAGCTTGTAAACATTTGGATTAGGTTTGCTATGGATGTAGTACGGTCTGCTTCACTTGGCTATAAATTTATTACTTTTAGAATGTTCCAAAGCAATTTTATACATTAATACTTTTTCACCTATATTGAATTGGTCAGCTGTATCGTTACGACTATCATGGTAGGTCTTTTGCTTCTCTTGTTGTTTGCTTGTACATTTCACTGCTTGTGCTCTTGCCTGTGGTAGATGTTCAATTAGATTGTAGGTACGTCACCAAAGGATATTATCTGATACTTCTTTATTTGTTTCCGGATATATTGGTTGACGTGCCTCATGACCATGCATTAGATAAAAGAGTGTCATTTTTGTGGTTGCATGCTTGGTAGTCCGATATGCGAACAGAATAGATGGGATCAATAAATCCCACTCCGTTTCATTTTGCACTAATTTAGCTATCGCTTTACATAGCGTTCGGTTAAAACGCTCTACCAATCCATTGGTCTGCGGGTGGTATGGTGTAGCAAGCTTGTGTTTGCCTTGGAATTTTTTCATCAACTCTTTGATCATTTCATTTTTGAAATGGGTTCCTCGATCAGTTATAATCTTTTCTGGACAGCCATGGTGACAAACAATCTCGTGGTATATGAAATCAGCTACCGTTGATGCATTCGCCTTTTCCACTGCTGAAGCCTCCGGCCATTTAGTCATATAGTCCACAGTGACAATAATGTACCGCCTATTTCTTATAGTGCAGGGTAACGGTTTTACAAAATCAATGCCAATTTGATAAAATGGGGCTGAAACTGGTATTGGTTGTAGTGGTCCTGGAACGCGTGTCTTCCCTTGTCTTTGGCATTGATCGCAACTCTGTACATATGCTCATATATCATCCCGCATCTTTGGCCAGAAATAAATCGACTTAATCTTTGCCAACATTGTATCCTTGTTAAAATACTCTCTTAACAGATGACTGTGTGTCAGAAACAGAACCGGCTCTACCTTATGCTTCTGGATCACGTGCAATAAGCATTCTTGATTTTTTTTGTTTCTCTTGTAGAGGATGCCATCCTGATATATAAAGTTCTTTCCATCTTTTCGCAATTGATATCTCTCATCTGAACTTAATATGGTTGGAAATTCTTGATACTGTAAATAATACTTAAGGTGACGATATTGTGTGGATTTCATAATTTTATCGCATTTGGTCATAAGTTTCTATTTTCTCTCTTTTCTGGCAGGACACCGGAACCTGGGCTGGATTCTGTTCCTTGAATTTTTTTTTTTTTTTTATTTTATGTTTCCTCCACCTTTCTTCCCCTCTATCTCTCCTTCTATGTTAGTCGGGTTTTCTTGGTGATTTAGAGGTGGGACAATGCGTCCGCATTGTTATGTTTCCTGCCGCTTCGATGCACGATGGTAAAGTTAAAAGGTTGTAAGTGCAAAATCCACCTCATTCGTTTTCCGGTTAGTTTTGTAGTTTGTAGCCATTTTAATGCTATATGGTCAGTCACGACCACAAATGATTTCATGTCATAATAGTGTTGGTAATGCTTAATGGCCCACAACACGGCAAGGCACTCTAATTCGGTGGTAGCGTAATTTCTTTTATGCTTGGTTAATCCTCTACTCACATAAGAGATTACAAATTCCTTTCCTTCATTGTCTTTTTGTGCTAATATTGCTCCCAATTCTCATCCAGATGCATCTGTATGCACATAAAAGGTTTTTGAGAAATCAGGATACCTTAAGACAGGTGCCGTGACTAAATGCTGTTTCAGAGTTTCAAACGCATAATTCTGCTCAGTTTTCCACTTAAATTTAACATTCTTTCCTAGCAAATAATGTAATGGTCGGGTGATCGTTGAAAAGCCTTTGATGAACCTTCTATAATATGACACCAAACCAATGAATCCTTGCAGTTGCCTGAGATTTTGAGGTATAGAAAAGTTTCTAATCTTATTGATCTTTTCATCATCAGGTCGAATTCCATCACGTCCCACCACATGCCCAAGAATTGGATATTCGGACGGAAGAAGGTATATTTTCCGAGATTGAGCTTCAATTTAGCTTCCCTTATCTTCCCGATTACTATGGCAATGTGTGTTATGTGATTTTTGAACGTCTCTAAGTAGATGTTTACATCATCCAAGTAAACGACCACGAACTTTCCAATGAATTCTCTCAAAAGGTTATTCATTAGTCTCTGAAACGTCGCCGGGGCATTGCACAGCCCAAATAGCATGACGTTAAACTCATACGTTCCCCAGGTCATTACAAATGCGGTTTTCTCTCGATCTTCTTTTTTCACCATCACTTGCCAATTTCCAGACATCAGATCGACGGTGCTAAACCAATTGGCCTTAGAAAAAGTTTCGATTAGGTCATCTATTCGAGGTAAGGGGTATATATCCTTCTTTGTTACCACGTTTAATTTGCAATAGTCGATACATAACCTCAACTTTCCTCCTTTCTTAGGTACGACCACAATCGGGACTTCGTGATTTGTGGACTAGTCCCCTTTTCATGAGCTGCATGACTTTTTGGATGAATTCTCTTACATCCGGTGCTGCCCTATATACTCTTTGTTTTATGGGCTTAGCTTCGCCTGTGTCAATGTTGTGGCATTTGAGATCTGTGCGTCCTAGTTCCTGGACAGCCTGCGCAAAGACATCACTTTCTTCGATCAACATATCTTTCACTTGCTGTATTTAATCTTCTGTCAGTTTTTTATCCATCATTGTTTTCTTGATCTTTTCTTTCATGGTTTCTTCTGATTCATCTTCCTCTATTGTAGGAAGCTTCTCTACTGCCATCGGCTTATCCTTTTTATCATCTGATGTCTCCACCGTTTCCTCTTCAATAGGTGCTGGTGAGTACTCGATCTGTGGCAAGTAAGCTGCCGGGCCCAACTCTTCTGGTTGTATCTTATTGATGGGTCTGTGTCACTACATGTCTCTTCTGTATAATACTCTTCTACTTCTCTTACTTCTTCCTTTTCATATATGATATCATTTAGCATCTTATTCGTTTCTTCATCACTAGACTCATTATCATCATTATCATCATCATCATCATCATTAGTCTCGTCAATGGGTATCTCCTTTGTTTTGTTGTATGTTATAGGGACCTTGATCTTTTTTCTGTCATATCTCAACACAAGCTTTTGTTCATTCATATAAATTCTGGCCTTTATTTTTTTGCACTGATCGGTTCCTAGAAGCAAGGTTTCGTCCTTGGAATCGATTACTTGCAACAGCGTCGGAATCCGTATTCCTTGAATCAACATTTTTAAGCTATTAATATTACCTAACGTTCTAGTTCTTGAACCAGTAATAAATATGATGGTCGTTGTTGATTCCTCCTCAATTTTTAACTTCAGATGGTCCATCAATTTTTTTGAAATAAAGCTTGCAGTGGCTCCAGTATCGATGATGGCGTCCAACTTCGTATCCTTGATCTTCACTTGACATTTTTCTACTGTAGTTTTCTTTTCTCCTATTGTAGTACAGTTGGTTTCTACCTCAACTAGTGGTCTTTGTATAGCTTTCGCTAATGTTTTCTTTTGGTCCGTATACTGCAACATTTGGCTGAGCGTGACGTTTGCTCATGTCGGCATAATATCTTTTACAATATCATATGTGGGTGCTTTCTCTATCTCGGATGGGCTTCTCTTCCGACGTGGTTTCCTTTTAGATATCGCCGCCTCCTCCATTTCCTCATCTTCATTTGGCAATGGGATGTTATCTTTATCTTGCTCAGGAGTCGGTGGATCAAATCTTGGTCTGTTCCTTAGGCGTCCATCCCAATTTGGTTCTGGTTCCAATACTTCTTTCCTTTTTCCTTTCCTGTTCTGGACTTCTCCTGTATAGGCTTCTTTTTCAGTTCTCTTGTTTCTTTCAACGGCCACGTACTGTACTTCGCTTGTCTGGGTGGTTTTTTTCACCATTTTTTCTTTTTTCGGACAATTTCTGGCACGGAGATTTACTTCTTCACATACAAAACATTTTCCGTTTGATGTCCTTGGCTTACTTTCACTATTTTCCGCAGGGGTCGCAAACTTGTTTAGTTGTACCTTCATGTCTCGCATTTGTTGCGTCAATTCTTTGAGCTCCTTTTTCAATTTTTTTGTTTTACTTGTTTCTTTCTCATTATCAGATAGTTCCAATTCTCTGTCTGTTTCAGCTTGCTCTATTCTTTCTAGGATTTCCTCCATGGACATGCTGGCCATAATGGTCAGTGCAGTTGCTACCCTCTTTCACAATCCTTTCACGAATATCCTAATACCACCTCTTCCCACTAAGTCATTATTAGAATCGGCCTTTCTTAATAACTTCCGGAATCGGCGAATATAAGCGGTTACTTGCTCGTTGCCTTCCTGTTTGATGTTCACCAGGTCTATGTACCATTGTCGTCGCTGCTCGGGTGTTACAAAGATTCTTAGGAATTCCGGTACGAAGCTTCTCTTTTGCTCCTCTTCGTTGTCCCAGCAGGTAATACGTCGTTGTTGGTAGTCATACCAATCTCTTGTATTATTGTCCAAGTGGCTAATCACTATTCTTAATTTTTTTTCATCCGACCAGTTGTTCGCTCTGGCAACCCTTTCGTAGGATTCTAACCATGGGTATGGGTCTTCATCCTTTTTTCCCTTGAAGTCTCGTGCCCTCATCCATGGTATGTCCCTTTCGTCTATTCTTTCTATTTGTTTTCGTTCACCAAACGTTGATTTTATTTCTTCACTGTAACTGTCTTTTCGATTATTGCCTTGACCATTAGGTATAGGGCTATCCAATATTCCAAACTCTATTTTGATTGTTGATTAGTAATCATCAATGTCACGGATATGTCACGGGTTCTTGTGGTTTCTTCACGAAGGTATTGTTTTTGGTTAATGCCTGTTTTTATCTAACAATGGATAATAGTAATAATTTTTTTTCTTTTTCCTGTTTAGGTGTACACGCAAAAATATCGGGAGGGGGATAGTGAGCATTGCTCCTTATGGGATCTACTCGATCCTTCTACCAATTGTTATCACTACTGGCGAGTCTGTCGCTAACCCGGGGCTGGACCTCGTTTTACGATAGGATAGACTTGTCAGGCCCTTGCTTGACTCTTGGATACCGCAGCCTTGTCTTATGGCGTCCTTAATTATTTTTACCCTAACTTAATCCTAGGCCCTGTCGATCTACTATACGATCGACAATCTGCAGACAAGAAAGATAAGTTTGTAATTAAACTGTTATGTGAATTTACAAGTTTTAAGTATTTTAATTAAGCAGGGGACTTCTTTATTTAGCAATTGTCAATTATTATATTTTGATTCTACTCTACAGCTATTTATATTGCTTGCAACATGTTCTCAAATCAATCGTCACATCCTGCAAGTTTTATAACAAGCTTTCACATACTTTTAGCCTTCTACTGATGCATAATCTGATACATTTGATCCTGCGCCACGCCAGACCTGGTACTTAACCCTATACCCTTATCCCCCGTTCTGTCATGCCTCTTTCTCACCCATGTAATTATTATACTAACAGTATATATTCATCTTATAAATCTAATAAACAAAATGTAAACTACTCATTAAAAAAAAAAAGTATCCAAATATTTAGATTCTGATCAAATCCAATTAGGTTATACAAAATAGGATCTCTGGTTTTTTTGTTAATCACAAGTCAAAAACAAGTTAAAGCAAAAAAGATTACACAAGATATAACTTCTAATTTAATTTCCATAAAAAGTTTACAAACCTCCTGATATAATAGACTCTATAGTATAAAAAATACTCTAACTTAAAATTATTCTAATTTAATACTTGCTTAAAAGAAAAGGATTTGATAAAAAGAAAAATTTAAAACTACAAATAGTAATAATAAGTATAATACCTTCTTTAAGGTCTTGGATAAAAAGTATTGAATAAGTTATTTAAATATTCTAATTAATAATTAAAGATATATATTCTTAATAACAACTACTAGAGTTTAAATTAGGCTAAATAGGTTATAAATTAGTGGAAACATTTTTTTTCTAAGGATTCTACTTATATGTGTAAGCTATTCTTAAGATAGTAAATTTATATAACTGAGTAAAGCTATAGATGAAGAAGTGAATTAACTTAAATGAATTTTATAATTATATGATTGGATATAAATTACTTAAAATTATATACTACTAGTACTTTTGTATCTGAAAAAAAAATAATAAAATAATATTTATTTATAGAAAAAATCTTTCCAAAAAATAATTTTAAACATATATATACTTTAACTATTTTATTCAATAATCAGTATTTGTTTCAGTTATTAAATTTTTACTAGTTGAAAATACCTGTTTTACAAATATATTTGTTACAGATATTATTAAATAATCATATACTATTTATGCTAAAACTAAAAGTTATTATTTATTTATTTTTCACTATTTTAATATATCTATTTTTTCTTTTATATATAATAAAGAAAGATATAATTCTAATTCATTTTTTATTATATTTTGCTATTTAAATAATTAGAAATGTATAGTATTATTTGTTTTCTTTTCTTTATATACTGTGATTTTTTTTGGATTTAATTTATTATATTCTTTAAAAATTATAAAAAATTATAAAATTATATATATTGTTAACCTGGAAAACAGCAAGTCAGTCACTTTACCAGTCTAATGTTTGTATAACTAAGGTAAGTCGAGGTGCGTAAGATTGATTTAGCCAAGGCTTTTCGTTATTAACAAGATTTTCTCTTTCCCAATACCAGCTCTTCTTTTGATAATCCCAGGCTATGTTTTATAGCAGCGATTATTCTTCCTTGTATAGTGTGTACTTGAAAAGATAAGTTGTTAATTACAATATTCCTTATTTGACGTTTCAATTTTTATTATTATTCTTTTTTTTTCGATTTTCTATTTCTCTTTTTGCTTTTTTGATTTTCAAATATTTTTTAATAAAAAAAACAAAAAAAATCATAATAATTATCTGAATCTTAAACAGATAGAAAAAAAAACTTTTTTTTGATTAAAAATTTTATAAATATAATTGTTAAACTTTGGATCAAAGATGATATTCTCAAATAAACAGATGTTTTTTATTAATATATATTATTAAATCCTAGCTAGAGAAATTTTCAACAAAATATTAAGCTTATAATATAGAAATTTTCATAAATTTGTTTGAAACTCATAATGTAAAAAATTTTAAAAGTGCACAAAATAATAGCAAAATAAAAAAAACTAAAGCAGCATGTTTGCCTTAGCAAACAATTCATTTAATTTTAGATAACATAGATATTGAATCTCAATTAAAACAATAAATTTATATCTGCTTAATAATCTTTTATGAAAAATTTAAAAATCCAAAACTTGTAAATTTTACTAATCCAATATTTGGTTAATTATATATTATAAAATGATTAAAAATTAGTAAGCATATAGAATGTAAATTTATCATTGAAGATATAAATCATAGAGCTTTAAATGAAATAAATTATATTTAAATTGATTGGTAAAATTTTTAATAATAAATTTTATATGCATATACACATACATATCTAAATATATTACATATTATAAGACACTAATTCTATTTTTTTACTTGGAATTTAATATTTGAAAATTCGGTGCTCGTTATTGATATTATTGATATTGTTGAAATTTATGGGTTTGATTGGAACCTAATTTTTTGAAGTGTCGAGAAAGAAATGAGTTGAAAAAATAATCATTAATAGTATCATATACTGTAGTAAATATAACATAGTCATACAAAAAAGGCTCTAAATGGTAATTGAAAAATCTAAAAATAATGTAAAGCTAGTGTTACAGGTAAATGGTGCAGACGTGTGATGCGATATTGCGTTATGTTAGCTTGTTGTTGCGAACGGCGAGAAATTAAGGTGAGAAAATTAGTGTGAAAAAGTTTAGCGTTGAGAATTTCTAGAGTAGTGTAGAATAACAATTAGATATAAACACGTAAACAACAGGCACATGCATAAATACAGTACATATGTAATTCAATAGCATATAGACGGACTTTGGGATTTTGAAGAGAATTAGTAATGCATTTAAGAATAAACAACAAAGTAATATTTAAAAAGAAACTCTTACCTTGTATTTAGTGTGCCAAAGTAAACTGGTAGCTTGGGATACGCGACTGCAAGAGAAAGCTAAGACTTGCCTAAGGGAATTGGCATTGAAGGGGTTCTAGGTTAGTTGATAGAAAAGTTTAAAGTGAAAGAATGACCAAATTGGAAACATGCCTTAAGAGTTAAAGGAGAAACTTATCTTATTGTTAACCAAGCATAGTGACAAATAGTGTAGGCTTGACAGATAGTCCACGACACTAGTAATTAGCATAGTTGTAAGGTTATTGAAAAATAGAATAACAGCATATAATAAGCCTGAAAGCAAGAGGCATAAATAATATAACAAAAAATTATCAATAAATAGTAGACAAATAGTTATCCCGCTTTATATGTATTTTATATGGCATTAATAAAGTAATTAGATCTAAATGGTCTATTTTTCCAATAATTAATTTTTGTATAGTGCTATCACATGTTAATTTTTATAACTTAACTTTTGAATATATCTGTATTTATTTAAAAAATGGCAAATATACAATCAAAAGTTGATTTGTTGCAGGAATTAAATTCTCAATTTATTATCGCAATTTTTGAGCTTAGAAAGAAGTATGCTGAGATAAAAGTCAATAATACAAATTAAAACAAGTTATAGAAGTAAATGCTGAACTCAAGACCATATTCGACAAACTAGAAAAGAGAAATAAAATAGAACATCAGTAATCTCATTTGTATTCTGAGCTAGAGACAGTCAATACTTATTAATATACTGTATATATATATATATTTAAAATTTTGATTTTTCGATTTGATTTTTATTAACAAATTAAAAATAAAAAGAATTTTATGATTTTATTTACAAAAATATTTATTTTTTAAAAGCTTCTATTCTCCACAAAGAACCATTTGGTATTTCTTCCAATATTAATACATACTCACTTGAGCCTAATTATCAAAAAATAAAGAAATTGATAAATTTCTGGATTTGAAAAAAAAGAGTTGGTAGTGAGATAAAGCAACACAATAGGGAGAAAGGCTTCAACGTGAACTTAATTTCAGATACTTATAGCTCTTCTAAATAGATCATGTAAAGCGGAAAAGAAAAATGCTAAGAAATTTGTTATTAAAAACAGAGAATAATCTTCTGATGAAATTTCCAATACGTACAGTATGTCTAGTAATAAAATCCTAGAACAAAATATCGAACTTATTTATTCGCCTAATAAACCATTAACAAATCAACAAATTTAATTGTAGAACAAGAATTACATCTACAGATTACTGTGACTACTGGTGATAATAATTCAGCTATGCTAGATGAGAACTTAATGCAAGATAATGATCTATCCCTAGTTTAGTGCAGATCATATTATGCATATTTTGAAAAACGATTCGATCTGGTCATGATACAATTTTATATTGCCATCACTTTTCCATAAAGTCGGTAAGAAAAAAGTCACTAGCTTAATGTATCACAAAATTAAATAGCTTTTACAAGGCATAACAGATGTGAATTTACGACATAAAATTAGACAAGTTTCATATAGCGCAAGTGCAATTTCTAGCCTTATTCATATGCAAATCCAAATCATAAATTATGTTAATGAACAAATTTATACTTCCTCTATTTTATTGTTTCAGAAGATAGAACAATCGAAGTTAAATCTTTACTAGAAATCAAGATAAATACATTGTTCACATCACAATCTAAAAAGATTTCATTGAAAACTGCAGTAAGTGTAATAATTATACATCACCGAACACTAAGCCTCCATCCACGTCTATGTTAAGTGTGTCTGATGATGAAGATTCCTTTAACCGGAGGCTTGTTCATGCCAATAACAGCAAATATGGTGATAACGAAGATAATGGTGGCGATGTGATTTTTCTGATGACGATCATGAAGGTTATTACAGTATTACAATTAAGTGCCGGCAGAACTTATACAAAACTGGACCGTTTAATCTGCACATATTAAAATACTCTCCGAAAAGGTGTAAAGCAAATGTTTGGCGTTATCGTGGATTTTATATGTATACAACAATAACTGTACCATTTTTTATTCAATAAAGACATTTACAGCACCATATTTCAAATTTAAGTTCGGATACAGTAATATCAAAATATATAGCATTTCTGGTACTAATTCCGGGTAAAATGTGATGATTACGTAACTAGCTTAGTCACAATCTCGAAGTTTGGCACTTTTTTGTCATTAAACAAAAAATCAAATAAGTAACGTCAACTAATACGTCATATATTTGAAATATTAATGCATCTAATAAAGTTTGTCTGTGTGGAGCTTTATTTTCAACTTGCATGCGTATCGGAAAATAATGCTCAGGTGATTAGCTTTCTTCTTTTGGGGTGATCCTATCTTCTTATCATTGACTATAAACACTATGTTATAAATATCGCCCTAATGGAAATGACTCTGCACTGGTAGGATACCATTCACGAAACCTCGGAGGTATAAAGGGTAGGGCTCTCTTCAGCTTTTTGTAATTTCATGTGATTTAAGCTCCTATGGTCCCATTTCGTCTATGAATTCATCAAGATTGGCTATATCATCACCTCCGTCTTCACTAATTATCGTTATTTGACTAATTACATCTCTTCTTTCGTCGAGGGGTAGCTTGTTTAGGTTTTCCGGCGTCATATAATTTATCGCACGATCAGGAACTAGCAAAGCGCGGGCGAATGACGAAGCTTAATGAATGTCACTAAAACTAGTCATACAGACGGAGGAACGTCCGGAGAGCCTTAGATATTGAGAGGGAGCAATCCAATAGAATTTAAATGTCAAGAAGTCTGTAAGCATGACTACTGGTTTCAGGGACGAGAACATATTGGATGCGATTAACTTGGCAATGGCTTGATGTTTATGACCGTCTTCAACTTTCTATAATAAACAATATTGTATTTGAGAAGTCTGAATTAATTGGAAGACCACTTGATCTTACCTTCTTCAGCTCAAAAACTAGCTTTACCATGTCCTGAGAATATGATAACTGTGGTGATCGAACGACCACTGAGTCAGCTGTACCATGAACCTTTCCACTGTTCCAGAACTGAGGGTTATCATGAACGTTTAGCACTTCATAACCGGTGAGGAATTCTGCTCCAAGAAAAGTATCCCGTATATAGTTATGTAATCTTCAGAATGATTGTTTTTGCTCACTTCCTGGTCCGACGTAAATGCAGAAGGCCTATCGCCAACCACTTCGAAATTGTTGAAGGCTCTAACTTCAACTTGTTCCCGCAAACCATAACGTACACAAAGCTTCAGTATTTTCTGGGTATTCATAGAAGATAAGCTTAACGTCTGATCATCATCGAAGCGTCGTTTTATCTCGCTTAAGTTCTGCTGTATATTTCTTATACTTTGCATTATTTATCATTAATATTTAATTACTTGCTCTTTCGTCCACCCCTATTAAAGAAAAAGTACAAGTTAGTAAACAATATGCCAAATGTCCCTTAAACAAGTATCCCGCCGTAATAGCCATTTTGAACTGCTAACCATCTCTTTTAACAATTTTTGATTGTAAATCAATAAATTATTGCATTATTCACTCACTAATCACCTTGTTATTCGCCTTTAAGTTTTTAAATCAATTCTGTAGCTGGCCCACCTGGCATTCCCCACCTTTCAAGAAGGCTTGACCGGAAACCTCTTGGTCTTCGATGATTTTGATTTGCTTCTCTTTAATAAATAGCTTAACTTTCTTTTTTTCAAGAAATTCAAGAACTTGTCGCGGACTCTATTTCTTAATTTCTTCAACACTTGGCATAATAACCTCGGTAGTTTCAACGTCCTCCATGGAAACTATTATTTTGTCAAAGATAATGAGTAGTTCTTCTATAAGCAATTATTGCAATGTACAGCAATAATTACCTGTAGAATGTTTCCTTAGCAAGGGGGTTTCTCCATATGTTTGTCTTTTCTCAGATGTACTAATACAATACTGTATCTGGTGATCGAACGTTCTTTCCTTTCTTAGACGCATCAGCATCTGATCGCTGAACGTCTCTGCCACCTTCTACTGTTTGTGATTTATTTCTTCTTCTTTTTTTCCCATCGTTAAGAAAAGTGATATTGTTTCTAGGTAAAACCTCCAGGTGGTGTAACGCGACTGAAATGTCGATATCATGTGGAATTTTATGTAGAACGACGACGCATTATCAGTGAACTGTATTAATTAAATGTTTGTTGTGTACGTGTCTCAACAAGTAAGCATTCGATACCAGCAAATTTTAATAGTGCTTATTTTAAGCTGTATTACTTTTTCAAACGAAATCCCTTCTAATTTATAGGTTTTAACGGTTGATTACTTCCTGCGTCGGCCATACGAATAATATCACTATCATTTTGTGATGCAGATATATTTTGGGATGGAGTAAATCAGATGAAAATTCATGTCTCGTTACCTAAATTTCTACTCACATCATCCGCATTATGACCTGGATCTTTAACAGTATTATTTACAGCTAAAGACTGATTTACGACATTATTATAATTATCTCGATTATTGTCATATCTCCTATTACTGGAATCTCTATGGACAGGAGAAACTGAATGATCCTTTTGATTGACCGTAGATTTCCGACGGCTTAAGATTGGTGTTACTTTATATGTTGGTGATGATGTAATATTACAATAATGTCGTCTTGTAGATGAAATTTTATTGTGAAATCTATCAAATGGGTTTCTATATTTTCATGTGTAATATGGGTGAGTTGGAAACTCAAGTCTGTTTCCTTGAAATCTTGTTTCTTCACTTACCAGTTCTCTCTCAAAAATGTGTACTAAATTCTTCAAAATATCATTCACCAGTTCTACTTCTCTTTTCGGTTTTACTTCTACCTATAAATAAACACATTGACTATAAGAGTGCATTGGAAATATGGTTATAGCATGATTTCATGGTTAATAATCTCTTACAAGATGTTAAAATTTACTTTACATAGTATCTCGTATAGCTGGATTTTATCGTTCGTTGGTTGTATTTGAAATATTCCAGAAATCTACCCTACTATCAGGAATATTGTAATACTCGACATTTTTGTTTTTTTCTCATTAATAAGTGATGCAAAATGGCTGCTCGACTTGACTTATGGTCAATATTATTAAAGCCGGCATAATTTTTATTTTATTTATTGAACCGAACCATTGGAGCTGGGCTGATTATTACTAAGCTTTATTTTTGGATCAATAATATAATTATATAAAACTCAATTGCAAATTTTGAATTCTACTTGTTTAATTATTATATTATTGTTATGGAAACAATAGGGATGGGAACGCGATATTGTGGCACGACGCGTAATAATAATAACATTATTAAAGAATGATGTAATAATTGGTCATAGCATGTAATGGGATGGACGCGTCAACAAGGCATATAAATAGGATAGTTTAGGTAGCTTTTAAAAAGAAGTTCTAGGTCCGCGATTTTAGAGTTTAGTTTTAGAACACTTGTTTGTTTTGGCACACTCGCAAATAAATGCTATTTCGCTTTGTACAATAAACAAGATAAATTCTTTAAAGTATACATTAAATCCCCGCTACTACATTAGAGTAAACGTCTTTAAGGAGAGACGCGACGTTACCATTGTGCACCGTAAGAGAGTGACACTTGTAATCTTGAGACGCGCCTAGGGAAAGACGGTCAATAAGAGATTAGCAAGTGCGCGAAAGTCGGTCAAATCGTAATCCGCCTCGAAGTTAAAGCCTTACCGTATTTAGTGCCGAAATCCAAGCGTTCGGGTTATCATCACGCGAAGAGTGTGCCGTTTTAGCGACAGACTCGCCGGTGATGATAACTATATAATTTTCACTATGGATTTTCTAATTGATTGAATCCTAATTAAACAAATTTATTAGAATAAATTTAATAGATATTTTGAAAATAATTACCTGTATTTATATTTCAATTGGTTTTTTTAAAATTTCATATCATTTTTTAGCCAAGAACTAAGACACATTAAATGATGATTGAATGCTTTTTTATAATAAACGTGTACATTTGGCTTGGACTGTTTCACCTTCTTTTGAAAAAACTTTTTCAGATAATACTGGCATAGCTTGATTGCCAAATAATATTATCCATTTGTGGTATATTTAAAAAGTGAAAAGTATTAAGCTTTCATCAACTTCATGAATCAATATTCATTGATATAATATATTCACTTAAATATTGTGAAAATTTATCAGCTGTCAAATATATTTATT